TTTGAAATAAAAATTGAGTTTTGAAATCAAGAATAAAAATGCAATTAGGTTTACTTCACCTCTGATCCCCCTTAATTGGTTTAATTACAATTCAATAATATTCTATCTCAATTATTTCAAATAATTCATCATCTAAAAAAATAATTGGTTAAATCCTAATGTCTTAGTTCTTTAACCCTTTAACCCTTTAACCCAATCGGAATCCTATTGTCTTAGAAATCCCTTTTAGATTAAGCCTTAAGCGCGATAAATTATAAAAGTTTACAATTCCTACAAGCCTATGTCTAGATCATGCAAGAATTGATGTTCTACCCCTGTCTAGATCAAGATCTCAATATGTCTATTGTGAACCCTAACCCTCTTTATCCCTATATAATTGGCCAGATCATACAAGAATTTAAACATGTAAATCAAGGTAAACACAAATAATTTGAGATAGTTTATTAATGAAAATAATTAAACCAAAACAAGGATTCACGTCGGATCCATATTCCTAACTACTAAAAGAAATTAGCCAGACATATTCATGTCTGACTTAAACAAATTAAAATAGTAAAAAGAATTCATAACAAAGATAGAAAAGAAAAAGATGAAGAAGAAAGACCAATGGTCTTCAATCTTCAAGTTCTCCGGAATTATGATCTCCAACGTGAGTCTCCTCCTCTGAATATTGTTGCCTCTGGCGAATTGTGTCTTTGAGTTTCCAAGAGATACCTTTTTATAGGGATTAAAATCATATCTTTTAATTTTCCATCATATCTTCAATGGAATCTTCACTAGAATCTCTAATCATATCTTTGATCCAATCTTTCAAATCTTTCCTTTTTTTAATTTAATGGAAAACTTTCCTTAAAAATATTCAAATGGAAGATTTGATAAAATCTTCAATGATTCAGAAATCCAAAGCAATTGTACTTGATATCTCCAATTATCTCTTTATTGAGCTGAAATTATTGTAAAATATCATAAGTCTTATGAGAATAAAATAAAAATTTAATTATAATTCTGATAACTTTTAATTACTTTTAAATCAATTTCATGCTCATATTGACCCTTAATACATAGTAAATTGGAGACTCATCAAACAATTCCAGATTTAGACATTGCTATCCTCAGCAATAAACTAGAATAAACATTATGAAGCAGGAATGTAACCGTGTGAGAAGAGACACATAAAATTCAAGCATAACATAGCATCAAACAAATAATTTTAGAGCAGAAGCTCATGAGAGTACTATGCTAAGCATGAATGATTTTCAATGTTGAGAAATTCAAACAAGACTTTTCAATTTCAAAAAGGAAATTAGAATCTAACTTGAATACCCCTCACTAAGATAAATAATACACTCATCACTCAAGTGCTTTGGGTATAATCACTCAATCCATCAGTGTAATAGCACTACCATAGGCTTGATCTTATTCTCAAGTTCCTAAAGATGAGAAACATAGATGACATGCAAAAATTGATCCAAAGGTCGTTTTGGGGTTGTAACATGGCTTGGTTTAGGGGTTGGAATATTTGGAAGGTAGCTAATTATAGAGATTGAAACACATTTAATTTAATTCAAGGCTTAGTCAACTCTCATACAATATTTCACTACTTCTTTCTTTTAATTCAAGATTTTTATTCCTTTTTCCACCACTTTTTTCTTTCTTCTTGCTAATAATTTATAGCAGAATTTTTTTTTCACAATTTCTTTCTTTTCCTTTGCACATCCTTTTCTCAGACAGATTTCTTTTTCCGTTTTTTTTTATAACATTAAGGGGCGAAGCCCCAAACAAAAACAAACAAACAACCAGAAACAAAAAATAACTATCCAGGGTCTATATCCCTACAAGAGGAGATTCCCTGAAGATCGTGATCAAATAACTGAGCAAGGTGAAACGACATAATTCTATGACTCCAGAATCCAGTATCTTTGTGAAGAGTAGACTTGGCTAACCAATCTGCACAGGAATTAGCTTCTCTTGGAATATGAGAAAGCGTTACCTCCCAATCCTGACCGATGAGTGCTTGTATCTTAGCCACTATACGAGGCTGACAAGCTGCATTGCAATCAACAAGCAAAGAGAATACTTCAGAAGCATCTCCTTCTAGTTCAACCTTCTTAAATCCCAGTTGCCAAACCAATTCCAGACCTTTTAGAGTTCCCCAAAGCTCTGCCATTAAAGGAGTGCAAGCACCAATATGATACTCAAAGCCTCCCAACCAAGAGCCATCATCAGATCTGATAATCCCACCACAAGCAGCCACCTCAGTATTCCTTTCAACTGCCCCATCAATATTAATCTTCACCCAATTTAGCCTTGGAGGTTTCCATAAACTCATACGAGTTGGATGAATGCTAGTAGTAGCCATAGCCTTCCTACCCATGCAGTTACGAACTTCCTCTATATACATAGCAATTATGTGCGTTCCATGGGTTGGATGCTTGAAGTTAGTATCATGGACACTTTTGTTCCTCCATCCCCAAATGAACCAGCAAGAGATAAAAAAGACATCACGCCAATCATCTGAATTACTTTGATTCCAAGCTTTTGAGATATTATTTTCAACCCAATCTCTAAGATCCAAGCTGTAGAATAAGCTTTGCCGATTAGCTGAAACCAGAGAATTCCAAACACTTCTAGCATGCTTACAATCTCTTAGAACATGGAGATTTGTTTCCAACTCACCAGGACACATTTTACAATGACCAGATTCCCCACTCCATCTAGATGTACGGTCTTTAGTAAGAAGGCGGCCATGCATTATGATCCACATACAAGATTTAACACGTTGAGGCCCATGCCATTTCCATATGGTAGTCCAAGAATTTTTCAACGGCATGAGAGGGAAACCAAGCATGTTATAATACGCGGTTTTAACTAAAGAGCAGCCAACCTTTTGATTTCTCCAAATAATGCGGTCATTTCCATCCGATGCGCTAGGAATGAGAGCAGCTTGGATCCTTGCAACAGCTTGATCATTGAGATATTGACGAATATAGGGAAAGTTCCATTGACCAGTATTGCTGTTCACGAAGGCACTAACAGGGAGATTCAACTCCAAACCTGTTGGAGTACGAGTAGCCAGAGAGGCAAGACACTCAGTTAAACCCAACCAATTGTCTGTCCAAAATAATGCATCATTACCGTCTCCAATCTCCCATTGCATTGCTTGAAGAAAAGATGGCCAAACACTACACAGATTTTTCCAGAAGTATGAGTCATATGCTTTATGATTTACTTCCCTCCGAAGATCCAAACCTCTCTTATATTTACTTGTTACAACTCGAACCCACAATGAATCGGGCGAAGTAAGAATCGTCCATGCAAGCTTATGAAAGAAAGCCATATTTTGGACACGAAGGTTAATCACCCCTAAGCCACCCATGCTCTTAGGCTTGCAAATATTATCCCATGCAACCAAATGAGATCTCCTTTGACCATTTTTATCACCCCAAATAAAGGCACGCTGCAACTTCTCTATTTCATCACAAATGGCTACAGGAAGCAGACTGTGTTGCATTTGAAATATAGGAGTTGCTGAAATAACGGAGTTGGAAAGAGTAATTCGACCGGCAAAAGATAAGACCTGGTTACTCCAACCAGATAACTTGTGCCTAATTCTTGCAACAACATCAGCATAATGGTCTTTGGTTACTCGACCATGTTTCATCATGGACCCAAGATATCTCCCTATATTGTGAGTTTGCTTGAAGCCACACACATTTGTGATATCATCTGCAATGTGAGCATCTGTATTTTTCGAGAAAAAAATACTAGATTTCGGAATACTAACCTTTAGGCCAGACATTGAACTAAAAGTCTCCAAGCAATCCACTATAACTTTGATTTGATCTAGAGAAGCTTCTGCAAACAGCATCAAATCATCAGCAAACATCAGATGGGCTATCTTAGGACCTTTTGATCCCACGGAGATTGGCTTCCATCTCTTATTGTCAACCGCATCTTGAATGAGATGAGACAATTTTTCCATGGCTAGAACAAAAATGTAGGGAGATAAAGGATCACCCTGACGAACTCCTCTTGAAGGAAGGAAGTCACCTGCAATGGCTCCATTCCAAAGTACTGAGACCTTATCAGAGTTGATACAATTCATGATAATATTTGTGAACCAGTGTGGGATTTGAATTTCATCCAAAACTTTACGAACAAACTCCCAATTTAACATATCATAAGCCTTTTCCAAGTCGATTTTAATTGCCATGAAACATTTTCTTCCTCTCATTCTACGCATTGAATGGATCAGCTCTTGGGTGATGATGATGTTGTCCTGGATATGTCGTTTAGGAACAAAACTAGCTTGGAAGGGAGACACCATCTCTTCCATTAGGGGCTTCATTCTGTTAACCAGAATTTTACTGAGGATTTTATAAATGACATTGCACAAAGAGATTGGTCTGAGCTGCTTAGCACTTTCAGGTCTCTTTACTTTTGGAATGAGGACCAGAAGAGTCGAGTTCACAAGGTGAATCAGATTGGGATTCTGAAACATCATGTTAACATCCTTAATAACATTAGTCTTAATAAGACTCCAATTCTTATGAAAAAAGGCAGCTGGAAAACCATCTTCCCCTGGAGCTTTTGACCCATTGATACTAAAAACAGCTTTTGAAATTTCGTCATCCGAAAGATTACGAGTCAGATTAGATAGCAGATCATCGTGCAGAAGGGGCCAAGTAGTCTTTGTTTTCACCCAATCACGATTAAGGACTTCCTCACTAAACAAGTTACTATAGAAATCTGTTACCAATTGATGAAGTTGTCTAGCTTCCTTCACCCAAATCCCATCAGAATTTTTTAACTCAAGGATCCTATTCGAACTTCTTCGAGTAGCTGTTTTAATGTGATAGAATTTGGTGTTTCTATCCCCATCATTTATCCATTTCACCCTGGCTTTTTGAAACCATAAGATCTCCTCTTGTATGAGAACCGCATCAAGGTCCTTCCTAACCTCCTTTTCTCTAGATTGGAGAGATAAGTTGGTATGATAATCAACATGATTCTGAATTAACGCCAGCATCAGTAAAGGTAGTCTTCCAACTTGCATTAGCACAGGCTCGGTCCAGCCTCTTAAAAACACGATCAAGATGAAGAAACTTCTGACCCTTCCATGTAAACCAAGGACCCGATCCTCCAAGATCCAGCAGCTTGCAATTATGAAGAACATTTGCAAAATTGGAACATCTGTTTAAGTTAACTCTACAACCACCTTCCTTCTCATCACGATTTGCTATTTCATTAAAATCCCCAGCCACCAACCACGGCCCATTACAATGGAGACTAATGTTTAACAGATCATCCCATAGCTTCTTTCTATTTTCTTCCCTAGGACTCGCATAAACTGCCGTGCAAGAAAAGGAAGGAACATGAAAATTCTGAACTTTAAAATGAACAAACTGTTTTGTGTGATTACCAATTTCAACGAGACCAGTCTCATCATTCCAGAGGATCCAAATACCCCCTGAGTAACCTTTTGCCTCTTGAACAAAAGCATGCTTAAACCCAGATTTTCGGATAATGTCAGAAGCTTTTTGACCACTACACCGAGGTTCTAGAATCACTACAATACTAGGCTTATATTTCCTAGTAAACAGAAAAAGCGATTTTTGAAACTGGGGTTTCACTGCTCCCCTACAGTTCCAGAAGAATAAATTCATTAAAAACTATGTTGAACGCAAGACTCCAAGGTTCTTGCATCCTTCATTCTTGAAATATCTTCCTGGTGAACTCTGTCCACCTCCATGCACGTAGAGATAGTTGAGGTTTCAGGATTTTGGATGTCGCTGCTGT